ACAAAAACGACTGGTAAGGGACTACAACGAGTTAGTCCATTACGCCATTACGTCAAGAACCCAGAATTTTACATAAACCCCGCCTCCGGGAACACACAGCAAAGGGGTCGAGGCGCTGCTTTAGTGCTTTAGAGAAGAGGAAGAGAAATCTACAGGTGCATGTAAAAATCTATTCATATATGAATCGCGATTCTGTCTTCTAACGATTCTAATGGATTCACAAGTTTCAAAATCAACGTTCTAAAGCAGCGTTCTCATCCTGTTCCTGGCCTCGCCCTGCTCTGCACACGCTCTGCATCTTTCTCTCTCTCTCTCTCTCATTCAGCTCATCAGCTCAGTGAATACATTTATTTTCACATACTATAGTTATGAGAAGCGTTATACATGGACGCGCATGCGGTTGCCGAACTGTATTAAAGCTTTAATCAGAATAAAACCGTATATTAAAAGCTAACAGAAGCAGTAGCATTTACAAATAACAGCGTATCTAAAAGTATGAGACAACAACAAACAAAAATCTTAGGCCTACCATTAAAAGCCGTGCTTGCACAGGTTCTGCACGATCCTCTTCAATAATATCTTCTGCTTCTCAATCGGGCTCAAACTGATGAGCAATATAGACAACGTCATTGTTTATAATACAGCCGGAGCACATGCCGCTATGTTGGGGTGCGGGACGTTTAGACGCACACTAGAGGCGGTTTAGCCTATCACAACACACTGGGCCAGCTAATCAATCAGAGCCCATCGTGTATTTCTGAGGGAGGGGCTTCATAAAAGCAGGAAAATTATCAGTGCGTTCAGAGGAGAAGGGACAGAGAGGTGTGGAATAAATGTAAATTATTTGAAAAATAATGCGTTTTTTAACAAACGAAACATTAACACATGTTAGACTGCACCCCATAAACACAATCAAGCCTATAAAAAAGCCAGTCAACCACCCCTTTAAGTAATTTAGTAAATGTGACGGTGTTTTAGTGCCATAATATTTTTAGAATAAAGTAAACATTACGAGATTAAAGTTGTACTGCGAATAAAGTTAATTCATGCAACAACAAAAAAAGTCTGTGGTGTTAACTGACTGATTTATGAAAATACTAAAACAATGTTGGCAAAGTTGTTAGCGTTTCTGAGGTAAATGTTGTTACGACTGTTATGACTATTCACAAGCTGTTTTATTGATGCTTTTCAAAACACTGATTGATCGATTAGCCTACATGAGACATTTGTTTTAATTAAGTTGTTCTGATTTTTTTCAACATGTCTTCTGCTTTTCAATCATGTTTATTTCGTGTTAGAAAAGAGGAAAAGATGATTGATTCACATGCCGCATGAACTGAGGTGAATATAGTGATCTCACGCCACATTAAAGAGCAGAAAAACTAATTTATTGTTTGTATTGCATGATAAAATTGATACAACTGTTTTTGCATATGGGCCCGGGGCTGACTTGCTATGCCACTGGTCTTTCAAACCCCAGCTAAGCAAGCCAAAAGGCAACAGTGAAAAGGAAACCCTAAATATCTCAGGAGACAGAAATGGAGAAAAAAAACTTTGGGAGAAACCAGGCTTGGTTGGAGGACCAGTTTTCCTCTTGCCTAGTCTTAATGGGATAGTGTCCACTTGTTGCGGATTTCAAAATCCCATGGAGCATGTCATATTGTACTGTATCATAAATTGCATTTTTAAGCATCCAATTTTCATTTGACATACTGCTTTTTTCATAAGTAGCAGTGCAGTATGCATATTTGGACTCAAGTCATGAATATATCCATAAGCTAAACAGGTAATTGAGTTGTTCCATTTAGACTGATATAAACATAAAATATAAGCTTTATTGAATGAATGAATGAATGAATAGACAGAAATGGAGAAAAAAAACTTTGGGAGAAACCAGGCTTGGTTGGAGGACCAGTTTTCCTCTTGCCTAGTCTTAATGGGATAGTGTCCACTTGTTGCGGATTTCAAAATCCCATGGAGCATGTCATATTGTACTGTATCATAAATTGCATTTTTAAGCATCCAATTTTCATTTGACATACTGCTTTTTTCATAAGTAGCAGTGCAGTATGCATATTTGGACTCAAGTCATGAATATCCATAAGCTAAACAGGTAATTGAGTTGTTCCATTTAGACTGATATAAACATAAAATATAAGCTGTCATAGAGCCAATCAAATGGATGGGGATTATTAGGAGGCCATGATGGACAAAGGCCAGAGGGGCAATTTGGCCAAGACACCGGGGTTACACCCCTACTCTTTACAAGAAGTGCCATGGGATTTTTAATGACCACAGAGAGTCAGGACCTCAGTTTAACGTCTCATCCGAAAGACGGTGCTTTTTGTCAGTATAGTGTCCCCGTTACTGCACTGGGGCGTTAGGACCCAGACAGACTATAGGGTGAGCACCCCCTGCTGGCCTCACTAACACCTCTTCCAACAGCAACCTAGTTTTCCCAGGAGGTCTCCCATCCAGGTACTGACCAGGCTCAACCCTTCTTAGCTTCAGTGGGCAACCAGTCTTGGGCTGCAGGGGGATATAGCTGTGGCCATATTGCATCATTCTGCAAGCTGAAGTACATGCAATGTCTTATTCCTCCTGTTTGCATCATGTTACTTGTGTGTGGCCTATCCACCAGCCTGTCCCTTAGATAAAGCTCAGTGGAACAGGGTGGGGTCTAATGTTGGGCGATATGCTCCATAGTCGTCTTATCGTCAGCCTGTGAGATCACCGATACACTATATTATCATGCTAATTTATTTAATTATACTTAGTTTCATAGCGGAGATTGAACCAACTCCAGGCTAAGGCTAAAAGCAGCCTAATGTTACTGTAATCTATTAACTTCACATTATGGATGTCATGTCATAAAATATTTTAATATGACTGAATTTGTATTTAATATGATGACAATTTAATGCTTACATTTCCTCAGTTATTCAAACAGCAGCTACAGAAAAACGAACAAAGAATATTTACATTATCAAAGAACATCATCACTGACTTCAGCCTAGGTCGAGTTTATGCACTTTAAAAAACACTCCCATTATAATCAGAGGAGCTGTCTACACTGTATGATGAATAAATCTCTTATACTTGCATTGCACGTATATCTGCACATTGTTGTTTATGATGAGAGAATTCACGAAACAGAAGACTTCAGTCGCGAATGCGCGCACTGAACAACAAAACTCCGGTGTTTCAGCGATGAGTCACCTGAACACCTCTGATTGGCCGCTGCATTCAAAAACTCAATGGAATCGTGTGTGATTGGTTAAAACGCGGAAAAACAAATATGATATAACAAATAAGCACTAATATTAATTATATAATAATACTAGCCTGATAATAATAATAATAATAATAACAATCGTCTTGCAATCGTCAAAGGCTTCAGCCACAGGTGATCTCTGACTATCGTCGATACACGATACTGTCGTCTATAGGCACAATATAGTCCTAGTACTGTTGAACATGTCTGCCTGTCACAATCCCTTTAACTCTGCATTCTGTATCTGTGTGTGTTTTTTTTAGAATCCAATGAGTCTCAGAAGAAGCCTCATGCCAGGCAGAGGGACAGTGTTAAGGCCTCTATATGCATAGAGTCTCTTTGTCAGAGTAATGTGTGAGTAGTAGTAATGGTCCATAATCACCAATAGCATTGACCATTTTAACTGTTATTCTAACACACATTCAGTCAAGCAAAATGAGTCCTAAACCATGATTAATGTGTTTATAATGATGCAGGTCTTTGGAGACAGTGACTGGAGTGAGCACTACAGGGGGACTATTCAGTATTCTCCTGACCGGGACTCTTTACCTACAGGTATGACTGACTGACATAATAAGCTTATTTAACTGAACAAGAATTATACAGATTACAGAAATTGTTTGTCCTAATAATGCTGACAGAAATTAAGTGACTGGTAAATTTGTCCATATTTGGGCCTACTTTTTTTTGTTTAGTCACAGGGGCATCTCCTGCTCCAGGGCCCTTGACAATCTTGTCAATCCCTATCAGAATCCTCTTTCAAGTAATGTGATGCTTACTTTTTGGCTATTAATTTATTATGACTCATTATGACTAAGACAACACATCACCAACTAATAAAAGTGGATATGCAAGAGTGCATATCTAAGAATATTTCCTTATCACGGATACTCCTATTGACCCATAAAACAAACAAAAAGCATGATTAATATAGATGTTTATTTTTTCACAGGCTGGAGAATATGTATCTATTCTTATTGACAATGGGACAGGCTCAGCCCTCACAATTCTCCAAGACAGTCTGTTTTCTGGCATTCTTATTGGAATATGAGGACACAAACAAAACACAAACCAATGACTAGAAAGAAGCCCATTTTCACAGTGTCGACAAAATACATATCTTAATTAGGTAAGGTATTCAGGACATATTAGAATATTTCAAGCATCTAAAAGAGACTCTACGTATTACCATTGTTGCAAAGGGCAGCAGGATTGCACTGCTATTTCTTTCCTAAATAATGGCAGCATTTAAACTCTGTTCATTGAGGTGTATGTATTTTTTCATGTGGTATGTTTTTGCATTCCATTCTTAGCAGGGCTGAAGTTTTATTTATTTGCATTTCTGTTTTGAAAGGATATTGATATTTGTGTATATTTGCAATAAAATACTTCCATAACTGCTGAAACATGCTCTTGGAATTTATTTCGACGAATAGAGATTTATATGAATAGAAGAGTAATTGTTACTGCCTGAGGAAAGTGTTTCAACATGCATTTTAAACTTTTTGCTGTATGAAAGATTTTCATGTTTTGTGATTGATAACTGAACCTTTTCAGAAAATAGAAAAGTATTAATGGCAATAATAGAGTAACTACCACATATGCAGGGTAAGTGGGGTGGACTTGCTTGAAAATCTTAGTAGAAAAACCTAAAAGCAGCAGCTTATTTAGGTCTTGATTCCACAGCATTCTAGCAATAGGGACAAATGAAAATGGCAGCAATTTAGGGTGATTTAAAGCCTTTAAACCTTTTAAATGTTAGTAATATTTGGTAATGCTGGTGAATTTCATTGTGCATCAATGAAGACACAAACACTACACTCAGTGATGATGAATGTAGACAATATGTTCTAGTCGTGATGGGGATGAGGTCATCATGCTGGAAGTGTGGCGCCTGGTGTTTGGCACTTTGCCCGCCCCCCATCTGACTGCTCTGCCATACTTTCCAGGAAAATATCTAACTGCATTTGTGGTCAAACTGCAATACCTTACAAGGATGGTTCGCTGTCAAATAATGTGCAGAAAGATAAATGAGTATATGGTAATGGAATGCTTATTTATCCCTTGATGGGCTTACTGAAAGCAGTGTCTCATTAAACACAAACACACATGCACACACACACACACACACACAAAACGTTATTCCAGTACATAGTTGGCCAACTTGTTTCCTGTTGATTGCACAAAATGGCAGACTTTCAGCCAAAAATAAATTATATATATATATATATATATTTTTTTTTTTTAGATAAGTGCTTTTTTTATCCAAGTCATTTTGACTCTTTCCATGCTGTGCTGTCTCTCTCACCTTTCAGCACATTCACTCACCCCCTCAGGAGAAGCATGTTTAAAACTTATCTCCCTCATTCAGCACCAACAAAACATTGCCAAAAGCACACATTATTAAAAGAGAGACTGTGAGGGAAAAAAACCCTGCATTATAAAGGTGATGAATGACAACCTGAGACTTTTTTCTCACCTTGTGTCACATGGCCAATTCTATAATATCTAGAGACCAACAACATAATAATAATAATAATAATAATAAATGAAAATCTCTCAGTGAGCTGTGGCCCATTCTTCGTACATCGCTTATTACATTCGAGATCAAATGACACATCCAAGATGATATCATCGCGCTAATCATGATCTGGGGGCTGTTTCATAAAAGATGCTAAGAAAAGCGGGGATTAAAGTCCGAAACCTGACTTGAAATAACCTAACAAATCAATCGGGACTAAATCTATTTCATAAACGACAATTTAAGTTCATGCAGTCTCACTAATTCGATCCAGGTTCAATGATTCAGGATAATTTGATGTGCACGCGTATTCTTAAGCAGCCCTTAAAGGAACACTCCACTATTTTTGAAAATAGGCTCATTTTCCAACTCCCCTAGAGTTAAACAGTTGAGTTTTACCGTTTTCGAATCCATTCAGCTGATCTCCGGGTCTGGAGGTAGCACTTTTAGCTGTAGCTTAGCATCGATCATTGAATCTGATTAGACCGTTAGCATCTCACTCAAAAATGACCAGAGCTTCTATATTTTTCCTATTTAAAAACTTGACTCTTCTGTATGTAACCCAGTGCGGGTTATTATTAAGCACATTAATACCTTTTCCCATGTAATGTGATATTTATAAGGTTTTATGAGTCAGATAGTATTCTAACAGTCTGTGTGCTCAGTTGATGCACTCAGGTACTGTCCCTTTAAGAGTTACGGTGAACTATAAAGTTTGTTTGTGATGCACTTGCTCAAAACGTGTTGTGACCCATCATGTTTGTTCCTTCTTTCGTGATTTATTTTTTGACTTATTCCCACCTCTGTGAATATAGGGGAAATTCTGATTGGACAGAGGGTTCGATGGGGAAGGGAGGGGAGAAACCTAGAGTGAGAGAAGCGATAACGGGGGATGAAGAAAAAAAAACAGATTTGAGGTGTAAGAAGTGTTGTGTAGGCTTTTGTTCAATTTTGTGTTTTACACTCTGTACAAGAGTTAAATTAAGATTTATTTATTTATTTTTCTCCGAGCCTGCACATAAAGACAGCACGAAGCTTCGTTAATTGTTATTACGGAGAGAGAGAGAGAAAAAAAACAGCCATCTAACTGGTTATTGACTGCCTATTATCATCTAAATTGAGTTTATTTAGAGGACGAGATTGAGTTGGCCGCATTCTAAATCCTCACTGTCATCGTGGGAGAGAATCGCGCCGCCATTCTGCCGACTGCCGGGGAGAACCGAGAAACTCTGGACGAGGCAGCACACGAAATCCTCGCTGTCACCGGGGAGCTGTCGTCGTGGGTGAGACTCACGCTGCCATCCTGCTGACTGCCTGTGAGACTACAGGACGATCGGCCGCTTCCAAGGAGAGGATCGTGGATTTCAGCTGCCTTAAAAAGGGGGTTCAGGTGATCTGTTTGATTGGTTTTGGCTCATTTGAGTGAAGAGGCCATTTGCAGTTTTCTAGGCCCCCACGCTCCCCAGCAACGTTACAGGCCTGCAACGGGGTGGGTTGTGTGACTGTGAGTGTGTGTGGGCCCACATATATATATATATATATATATATATATTGACAGTTATTATCTTTTATGTTCTACTTACATACAGTAAGTGAAGTTTGGGGTTTCATACTGTTGTTTGGTGTTATTGAAACAACCTAAGTGTATTAGGGGTTTTGAATTTTCCTCATCTCTTTCATATTGTGTTTGCTGTTATTTTTGTTGCTAATTGAGTACAATTTTAATGTGAAATTCATTAATTTGGGTTAAATGTCATTTTCATAAGACTGTAAGTACTGAACCGTTTTTTAAAATACGTATTTATCCAAAGTAAAATACACAACAGACATTTAGGTAATTCCTTCCCATCTTTATTGAGACATACATTCATTTATTTTAAATTTTTCACTGTTGGTTATAAATAAATCAAACTGTTAACTTTTTCATACTTACCTTTTGTGTTGATTAAGGTTATTATCTGTGCCGTGTTGTATAGGAATGTTACTGTAGGGGTATAAACCTAGTTAATCTGGGTTACAGTAGCCAAATAGGGTAATAGGAGGAATATTAATATATAGTTGGGAGACACACTGTCAGAACCCGGTGCTCCGCCCTATTAAAGGTTAAGGGTAGGGGGCGCTACACAATTTGGGGGCTCGTCCGGTATTCTACTTCCTGTTACCCTCATGAAGACAAAAGATTGAAAGCAAGAGCTTTTTTCTCATTTTGTCTCTCATAGTTGAGGTATACCTATGATGAAAATTACAGGCCTCTCTCATCTTTTTAAGTGGGAGAACTTGCACAATTGGTGGCTGACTAAATACTTTTTTTCCCCACTGTATATTTTAAGTGTCAATATAATTATCTGCCTGAAGTTTCAGCATGGCCTTTGGAAGTAGCCCTCTTCTGCTCGCTGAACTCTCCAAGTGGTGTAAGGAGGCAGAGATTGAGGAGACTCATGCAATACTGTTGATTGGAGTACCTGCAACTACTGAAGTAGCAAGTATTGAAGATACTGTTCAGACTGTAAAAGTCTTGGGAAGAGTGCGGGCTAGAGACTCGAAATTGGGGCCAAGCCCTGGTACCCTCTTGGTGCTTAGTGAGTGTTGTGAGGTCATCGACCCTGCCCGTATTCCAGCTGAACTGCTGCGGCCAGATGGAGAAGAGTCATGGAAAGTTGTAGTGGCACCTGTCGATGTTTCAGCCTCTGAGTTTTCCAAGAAATTGTCGAAGTTCCTAATGGATGAGGGAAAGTCTATGACTGATATACAGGCCTTATTCTCTCCACGGAGTTCCAGTTCCCCTGAGTCCATTATACGTGCCGTGGGTGAACTTCTGGAGAAGACAATGAAACCATCAGGTGAAACTAATGCTTATCGATGACTACGTATCTTTTCTGGCACTGTTCCAATACCGACTGGAGAGGAAAGTCTAGAAAATTGGATAGAGCAGGCCAGATTAATGACCAAGGAATGTGAGTGTTCCGAGAAGGAAAAACGGCGAAGAATAATGGAAAGTGTCAAAAGGCCAGCCCTTGACATTATCAAAGCTGTTCGATTTTCAAGTCCTGAGGCCAGTGCTTCTCAATATCTTGAAGCGTTAGAAAACACATTTGGAACCTCTGAGTCAGGGGAGGATCTATACTTTGCCTTTCGTCTCTTACGGCAATTCCCCGGGGAAGCTTTGCCTGACTTCCTGCGTAGGATGGAGAAATCCTTAACGAAAGTGGTGCAGAGAGGAGGATTGAGTCTCCAGATGATGGACAGAACAAGGGTTGAACAGCTGATTAGAGGGGCGGTTGAGTCGGATTTGATGCTTCTGCAGTTAAGACTGAGGGAGAGAAGAGAACAGCCACCCACTTTCTTAGCACTGCTAAATGAAATCAAAGAAGCCGAGGAGAACGAAGCCGCTCGCCATAAAATCAATGCGTCCGTGAAGCACATTCAGCTGAAGCAGGATGATAAAGTAGACTCTGTAATCCGACAACTCCAAGCAGAAATTCAGGAGCTAAGATCCAGATTTGGGGAAGATCCAAACACTGTTTCTGTGTCTTCCATGAGGATTGATCCGAAAGACAAGCAGGAGAAGAAAAGAGCTGATACTCATGGAGAGTCTGAAGTACAAGCATTAAAGAGGCAAGTTCAACAACTGCAACAACAGCTAGCAGTCATGAGTATTAGTTCCACTGCTCAGTCACACCAAGCTCAGGCAAACCCCAGGCCTGTTCCAGTTTCAAGAAGGGACAGGCCAGTTACACACAACGATGATTTCTTCTGTTATCGGTGTGGAGAGGATGGACACATCGCTACCAAG